GACTTTGTGCACCACGGGCATGGGAAAGGGCCAGACCAGCGAGCTACAGAAGTATAAATCAAATGGCAGCGTCCAGCCATTCATTCATTGTAGCTGGGACTTTGTGCGAGGTGGTCTGCAGCAAGCCCGAAGACGAAGTGGGCGAGAAGGAGCTTAGCCATAGCAATAGGTTAGCAGCGGCCATAGCCGCCATAGCTATAGGTAGAGTGTAGTGTGTGTGTGTGTGTGTGTGTGTATGTGTGTACAGGGTATCGCGTGTGGGATATCCAGGGTGATCCTGTGTGTACGAACAGAGAGTTGTGTGGGCGCTGTGTCGCCATAGCCATTGAAGTGAACTTGCACCTGAACTCCGTTCTTGGCTACCATATCTCTGCGTTTCGAGTGGGCGCTTGTCGCCAGTTTGCTGCGCACCTGTTTGCATGCATGCGAAGTGTGAATGAGAGTGAGTCTGATTGCACAAGTTCGAACCCAGATAGAAAAAGAGGAATCTGCCTCTATTTAGGGCGATTTTCATGTCTGATTTCGAGTTAATAGCCCTGTATAGGCTGTATTCTATTAAACCACCAGTTCATACGATGATTTGACGAAGCTACCTTCCAAAGCTCGATTTATGTGTGTCATCCTTGCGCAGGGGCCATGCTAATCTTCTCTGTATCGTTCCAATTTTAACGGATGTCCCGAAGGACAGCTACCTTCCAAAGCTTGTGAGATTGCAACTGCGCCTTTTTAAAGTGGCTTGCCGCTTTTGCTACCGGCCCAGGCCCAGAGCGGAAGAGTACCACATAGACCGGCAAGGCCACAACTTTGGCTTGCGTGAACTGGCGATTTAATGGGAAGATATATACCAATTTTATGACGGTCCCTTTGACAGACGTGCAAAATAGGACGTTCCTCGTTGGATACTAGCATATTTAGTCTGAAGACTCTGAACTTCAAGACTTGACCTTGAATCATGCGCAAGTACAGGAGTCTTCACCACCACCGTTGTAGGCATCATTCTGTCTAGCTCTGAAACAACCACCCCATTTTGGAAACAGGTGTGGTTATCATAGGGCCTCCAATTTGTCATTTGGTTCGTTATATGGGCAAATCTGGTGGCCACAGTTTTTTCGTAGATCCACCGAAATCACCCCCAGCCCAGAGGTCAGTCATGAAGAAAGGACTGGAGATTTAAAAGCCAAAGGATGCAAACAACCTCATTGTAAGTATCATATGATTCAGTGAGGTTGTTAAGGGCCAAAGCGTGCAATCACCCAGCTGTATCAGCTATCAATTCTCTGAAGCCGTTCAGAACAACTCCACATGAGAAACTATTTCCCAGACTCTGAAACCTTGAATTCAAACCAGATGCCATTCAGATGATCCTTCCAATCATTGACTGTGGTAAGCATACTTCAAACAAGCTTTGAAAAGTCCAAAAAAGTTTGAGCTGCTTCTTCTTCTTCTTCTTCTTCTTGAAAAGTCCAAAAAATTTTGAGCTTCTTCTTCTTCTTCTTCTTCTTCTTCTTCTTCTTCTTCTTCTTCTTCTTCTTCTTCTTCTTCTTCCGATTTCTGAGTTTTGCCGCCCGAACATGTGACTTGCTGAGATTCCCACTTTCTGCTGAGATTTCTAAGTCTGTGTGTGAGCGTGCTTGCTGGTTTCCGTGTGTTTGTCGGAGTACCTGATTGCTTGGGTGTGTGTGACCCGCCAGGATACTTGTATGTTTGGAAGGGCCTCGGCCCTGGTACTTACCTGTGGCCGTGTCTTTGTGGGTTGCCCTGGTAGACTAGGCCCTTGTAGTTGGAAAACTCTCAAGTAGCGTGTAGGTTAGGCCGGCATAGGTAGGAGAATACTTGGGTAGCGGGTAGGTAGGCAAAAGAGGACAAGAAGTTAGTAGTAACTTAGTACCATTAGATGCAGAGTGAATTTTAGGGGTCCAGTAGTGTTTGGTCTAGGGGTACCGGTCCAATAGTCTGAGTCTAGGGCCTGTAGTGTCCGACATCAGACGTGCAATGATGTTTCCCTCCGAAAGGAGGAAGGTACTGGATGCTTGGGAGGCCGAGTGGCCTGGAAAGTCAGCGCCCAAGAGGCAGCCGCTTGGTATCTCACCAGGAGGAGCGAAGTGCTCCTCCTCATTTTGCGGTGTGCAAGTTTGCGGTCACTCTGCTGGAGCGAGCGCTTTGCCAGTCCAACACTGGGGGAGGAAGAAGGAGACCTGGCCCTCCATCTCAAGCTATGGTGGAGTGGACCAGGGAGGAGGAGGAAGAAGGTGGGCTAGGAGGAGAGTGACAGTGGTACTTACCTGGCTATGGTGAACGGCATCTTCATCTTGTTGGTTGGCGCTGCACGTGGAAGCCCCAGTGGGGGTGCGCTGCTTCAAGGAAGGTTTCAGGGCATGGTGGTCATAGTACAGGGGACATATCAGCTTTGCGTTGCCCTTTGAACATCGGGGCAAGGCCCCACTAGTCTGCCATAGCCACCAACTGTCGAAGAGGAGGACGAAGGTGTAGGTCGTCGCTATGGTGGACCTCATGTGTTGCTGGCAGTAAGGAGGAGATTCGGACATTGGTTCTGGTTCAGTCTTTCATTGTCATTATTATTATTTGTTGTATTGTGAAACGGTTTTCACCTTTGCAGTGGCAGATGCAGATCCCAAGGCTCGATCCCTAGACCTTCACCTCACCCGTGTACAGTATTGAGTCGACCCCTGTGTGTTTGAACTTTGAACCCGTGACCTGTGTTTTGGTAGGTGTCCGTAGTCTGTCATAGATCTGTGTAGCCATAGGGATTCGATCTGTAGACCTGTCGAGTAGGGGTCATAGTTGGGCAGAGGCCGTAGCTGTAGCAATTTTGAAAGGTCAAGGTCGTAGCTGCTACAGTCCTGAAAGGCCAAGTCCACAGACTTCCGGAAGGTCCGGAAGTGGCCTTTCAAGTTTCTTCTGACGTTATTCACAGCAGACCAGAGGCAAGTGGGCAAGTGGTGAGTCCAACTTCGCTTAGTCAGCGGTACCCAGTCCCAGTCTCACTTTGCACAGTCAGCAAGTACCATGAGGGACTGCGTGCACCATGGGCCCGGTGGAAA